AAGAATCTTCTAGTTCTTTTGTATATGCTTATCCGAATTCTCAAATAGCTCATTTAAAAATGGCAAATGAAAACTTCAAGTTTATCATGAAATGTGTTATCTCTAAGTAAATTTCTAGTTTACTATGGCATAAACTTTTGCATCAGTAAACTTTCGATTTACTGTGGCTACTTTTGTGTCAGTAAGTTTCTGATTTACAGTTGCTACTTTTGCCTCAATAAAACTTCTGGTTTACTGTGACTGCTTTTACATTAGTAAACTTCTGGTTTACTGTGATACATGATATAGTACAAATTAAAGAATAAGGTGAGTCACTTCTCACATACATATTATTTTACCCCCTATGATTATGGAAACATGAAAATTTTTAATCTTCCAATAATTTATAGTCTCAATATGATAGTCATTTGTATTAGTAAAGTTCAGGTTTACTACAACATATGTCTTGACCATAATCATATAATATGAATGAAATATTTGTATATAAGCTCTTCGAAAACCTTCATTTATTATCCACAATCTAATATTATTCGGACACTACTGGTGTCACGTGTCTTCTAGACAAACAGTTAGTTATTCAGGAGTTTTTGATACATTTTGTACTATCAAATATTGCTCAGACACTTCTGGTATCATGAGAGAAAATCATAATCAAATAAACAATATAAAGACAATTCTAAATTTATAAATGTCAGAAATCAAGAATTTCAATATTTTTACCATCAACTTTGTGACAAATATCTCCTTCAGGGAGAAACGCCATTAACATATGAATATTTTATATCAAAGCGGCAACCACATAGTCATTACATCATTCAGGGAAATATACATGAGTTGTTATTTTCTTCGGGGTAGTTAATAATAACTAACCATAATATATCAGTGTGGTTGTAGTAGAAAGCATTTTGCATTAGAATGATACTTAATAAAATTATCCAAGATGTTTTGCATACAACAAGTACGTGTGGCAATGATCTTTTTGCTACAAAAATAATATTTATATCGTCTATTATTCTACCTCTTCAGGAGGTGAATTGTGGTATTTCTTCATTCACTCCAGGGAATAAAAATGTGCTTCAAAAATAACTTTGAATAACTCATTATTTTATTTAAGCACAGAAAGACACTGCTTCAAAATATTTTCCTACTTCATGAGGAAATTTCAATTGTGTTACTTCTTCAGGAGCAAATTTAAAATACGAAATATTGTATATATTCTCTCAATCATATTAACTCTTCTGGAGGTGAATTGTAATATATTTACATCAAGAGCGCGTTCATATTTACGGCTTTATTAATATTATCACATTCATTTTAGGGAATGGATTAATATTTATCAAAAATTATCATCCTTCAGGAAATCAAACATAATTATCTGAACGCGCATTAATCACATCAAATTGTGATGTTTCAACCTCTTTTAAAATATTTACTACTTCAGGAGCAAATCGAGGCGTGCATGTAATATAGAAAATATTTCTCTAGTTTATCTTTAATTGTAACCATAGAAAGCCTAAATTATCACTTTTGGTGGTCATACGCATATACCACTTCTGGAGGTTAACAAAATTTAGTTACAATGAGATATACGAAACATAACCACTTCTGGTGGTTGTATATTTCTTGCAAACTCTGTTGGAGTTTAAGGGAATCTAACAATGTTATCCACTTTGTAATCCTTTATTAAGATAATAAGGATGAAAATAAATACCAAAATAGGTATTGTATACGTAACATATAACCAATCAAACGATGATAAAGATATTAAAATATAAGCAAAAGGCTCAAATTAAATTACGCAAATTTAGCCACTCCAGATGTAAGTGATATCTACATCACTACTGCCAAGAAGAAAAACTTACCATCTCAAGGATATAATCTGCCTTATGATGTTAGGAATGAACAAGATCTAACCACGGACGTAAGAGCGTCACCTTGCATCGGAGATGAACACACCTCAAGGATATAATCTGCTTTATAATACTCGGAATGAACAAGATCTAACCACGGAGGTAAGAGCGCCGCCTTACATCGGAGATGAACACTGAAATAGAAATTAAATTCGAAGTAAGTGCTCAAAATGACAGAGTCTCGTGCTGATAATGTGTTATAAAATAAAGACTGTTAAGTAAATAAATCGAAGACAAATATAGAGGGAGATTGATCTTTTTATTCAACTTCAAACTGATGTACATAATGAACTAAAAACTCCTCTATTTATAGAAAAAAGAAAGCAGTTGCGAGGCTTTTCAGGAAGCAGCTGCGAGGTTTTTCTTGAGTTGCTTGTAAGTTGTCTGCTTGAGCTGCTTGCAACTTGCCTGTTTAATAAGAAGCTGCTGCAAATCATTTCATTGAGTTGCTTACAACCTGCCTGCATCAGCTGCTTGTAGATAAACTTCAATAGAGTACCAAACGGATAATCTTCTTCAGGAAAATTATATATAACGAAGTAATAAATGGAAATCCACATTATAATTATTTTCATAACAAGTGACAATTATTTCTAGATAATTCTTTGAAAGTTAGAGTGACTGTTAATTTGGACGAGGATCGGAGTATATCATAGAGTTTTTGGCACTACTATCACTTTTGTTAGAGAAACTGCAATTCGTTGTTTAAAGATATTGAAGCAAATTTTTAGGGGTTGTGACCAATTAGCTTGTAAAAATTGAAATATTTGGTGTGCTGATTCTTTCTATTCCTTATGATTCATGTAAACTACTAAACAAAATAACAAATCTAACTGAAAGTTAAAGTGTTAAAACTAGGGGTGTAAATGGATATTTAAAAATCGACTAAACCGACCGAATCGTACTGTACCGAATCGATTTCTAGGTTTCTTTAATAAAACCGTAGGTTTTTATATAAATCTATAATCGTACTGATAATTAGGGTGATTTTTTATTTTATAAAAATAAACCGAAAAAATACCGAACTGTACCGAATAAATTTACATGTGAAAAATATATTTATATATTAAGTTTAAGAATAATAATGTATTAAAATTTTCCTTGGGCCTTGAAATTGTGAAAAAGGTTACAAGCAAACAAGTAATTAAACTCAAAATCTTAATTCCCAAACCTATAATGCTACTCCTATTGAAACTAAATTATTTTCAACATATTCACTAGCAAGACACAAGCTATTCTAGCGATTAGTAGCAAACTACAATGGTTAGAATATGTTTCCTTTCATATGATTAAGATTTATCTTTTTGAATATTTAATCTTCTATTGACTTTATTCTTGAGTTCCAGCTTGGTTAATATATTTTCACTCGGTTAATATCTTTGTTTAGTTTCTTTTACGCTGCTGTAGAATAATTGATGGATCTATACTCTGGCCATATTTAATATTTTCTTAATTCATCACTCTTTAAAGAGTAAAATATCTAGAGAGTTTGCTAAGTCCTATAAAAGTACATATGTTATTGCATTCTACTTCTACTAGTGACTTTTACATGACATTTAAAAAAATACCGAAAATTAACCGAACCGCACTAATACCGAAGAGAAACCGACATGATTGGAACGGTTTCGAAAAGCTTAATTTTGGTTATGCATAATAGAATAACCGAAAAATTAATATGGTACAAATTTTAGAAAATAACCGTCCGAACCGAACCATTGACATCCCTAGTTAAACCAAATATTTTCTCTAACATGTTTGAACGTGGATTTGAATAGTGATAAAGTAGTTCTCTTTTTAGTACTTCCGCAGCATTTCCATGTGTGTTTGGCGCTCATTCCTGTCTTTTGTTTAACTTGAGATTGAGTGTGATATATATACATCACATGAATATTTAAGATTGGAATATAATTGAATTTCCAAAATAATTTGGTCGAGTAATGATATGTCCAGGTCATCAATAATACTTAAATTTAAATAATTTCTTTCGTAAGTTCTTCCTTAAAAATGTTTTATGAATCAAGTATTGTGCGTATAAGATAATAACAACAATTATATTTGTATAATTAAACAAGAAAATATAGTCTAACACTTTCTATTAACATAAAGATTTTGTTACTTAGTGTTTAATTTCCTCCACTTCATGACTTCACACATAAAGTTTATTGATTTCACGATAAGCAAGTCTCTTCCTATTTCATGGGAAAGGAATTCAATAACGATGAGCACGAAAACAAACAACGAAGATACGTCCAATAATTAATGAGACAATTAAAGCCAACAAAGAAGTGGTCTTTCTTACAGTGAAATAAGCTATACTAGCTTGATTTTTGATGTTCTATTTAATTTGATGGGAAAAAGCAATATTATTGTTGTGTCAACCTACATATCAAATTTAATGCTTTTTTATATGAAATCATCTTGTGTTGGTATAACATTCAAAATTTGATTTGTATTCTTGCAGCAATCATTTTGATCCATAATTCTTCAAATGCTTTTATTCTTATTGATATTTCAGACTGTAAGTGTAAGTCAATTCTGTGTAGTTATTCGTTTAGTTAAATAATACTATTTTCCTAAATTTATATATCAAGTTATTGTACTCGATGCTTTGTTTAGATACTATTGATATTATTTTGCAATATTATATTTTACAAAATATGGCGTGCCGAGAAACTAGTATTATACAAAAAGTAGAGGCAAAATTAGATGTTCTTCAAGTATATTGTTTAAATTTCCTTTCACAATATTCGGGTTAGCCGTAGGTCTCAAGGATTGCACGTAGTTAATAAGTCATTATCAAACACACAAAAAGATTCCAAACTCCATATGGGGAAGGAGCTTTGTTGTTTGCAAGATCTTGATCATTTAAATGGACCCATTTTTCATTCCATTTGTGGGAATTTGATGATCTATAAACCGTCCTTAATTTAGAGATAAAGTAGGTTCATTGTCATTGTAAACAAGCATATTCCATAGCATTTGAATCTGCCACAATGGAGTTGAGTTGTCCTGAATTTTTTTCCTCTTTTTTTGTGGATAACGTAACAGTCTTATTGATGTCAAGGGAGAAACTCGTATAAAAGCGCGAAGTACAAATACACAATATGATTTTTTACCAAGTGTACTCTATCGTCTATTCTAATCAGGATTCTATTAACTGCTCCAACAATTTACAGAAAATATGAATGATTCAAATATGTGCAAAGGAGTGAAAACTCCTTCAAAATCTCCTCCATTTATTTCTTCCCTAGTTATTCAGACGAGTGTCACAACAACCACTTCCCATGGTCATCCTCTTCTCCTTTTCCTTCTGAATGCATATAGCAAGTTTTTGCCAGTGTTCAGCATTGACTATTTGGCTCCAAACAGGTTCTAGACTCCAAAACAAAATGCACGGCCTGAAATGAACTAGTAAGTGGTTCACATCTTCCCCGACCTCTTGCACATGAAGCACATATTAATACGAATTTTCTCCCTCTTTCCAGATAGCTTCCCACACTGCTAACCACTCAGATAAGTTGATTTTCTGAGTTGGAAGAGAATAAACTTGGATCTGAGGATGTTGTGATTATAACCATAACCTGTTGATGTCAGAAATGAAAAAAAAAAGTGCTTACGACAAAAATATAGTACTCCATATAAATCGCAAGGCTTACACACCTATACATCTTTTTCGACCAGCAGGTAAAGAGTATATAAACACAGAGGGGGGTGGGGGCCCTCGGGCAATCTTGCAACCACAGGCAGGTAAGACATAAAAAGCCAATAACCACAAGGAGTGAAACCATTTTCCTTGTGTAAGTAAACAATAAGAAATTTCAGAACTTAAAGAAAATAAAAGGAGCCAGAGAAAATGGATGTAACTTCTTATCAAAATTAAAAAATTATGCACAAATTAAAAGACCAGGTCTCTGAATGAACACTAAGCATTATGGTACTCCTAAAACTCGGCACCAATCACACACGAGTATGTTGGCATTCAAGTATTTCCTTATCAAGCAGCTAGCTCCGGCAATTGTAAATAGCCTTACGCAGTAAGAAGTAATAGCATGAATCATGAAGGCTGAGTTGCAGCAGCAACTACATCTGTAAAGTACTAAGTGGAAAATTAACAATAGAAAAAGCAATTGTTTTATATTCCCTTTCGATAATGTACGAAAAGCAATTATTTTCAGGGGCAAATACTATTTTCTTAAAAATTTTTGGTCTTGTGTACGCATGTATAAGGGTAATAACAGCCCCATTTGGGTGTTGGATCCATATAGTTTATTTACCGGTCAAAAAGACCTTAGCATCAACCAAAGAAATGCTTGATTATTAGCTTTTAACATCCCTCTAGCTGCAAGGGTGTGGCCTAATGGTCAATAAAATCAATGCAAACCTTGAAGATCAGGTTTCAAATCCCAGCAACTACACTAGGTGATTTCTTCTCATCTGTCTAAGCTTTGATGGATAGAGTTACACGTACCTATGCTGAAGAGAGGTAGCAAGTACGCGTTGGAATTGTCAAGGTGCGCGTAAGTAGGTCCAGACACCACTGTCAAAAAAAACAAAAGACAAAAAACCTTGTGGCTATACAGAGTAGAAGAGACAATATGCAAAACGGAATCCCTATGTAAAATCTGGACCAACTCTATCAATTAATAAGTTTTGCTTGATGTCCTAGATTACACTCAAAAGAAAACTACCCCAAGAATTGTTTCCAAAGATATACCAAATTAGACAAGATAATTAATTATCCTCGTGATCTCATCTGAGTTGAAGGATTCGCAGATAAGGGGGTTAAATCTTAAAGCATCTGGAATAATTCACAAAAAAAAAAAAACAGGCTGATACAGAGTTTAGAAAGGTTAATACACTATTTCAGGCCTCTTATTTTACTTATCCCCATCAAACGCATATCAGGTAATGTTTCCACAAATCTCCTAAGACCTGAAACAGAAATCTTGGAAGTGCATTAAAGCATCGGGAAAAGACAACTGAGGATCTTATGATACCCCTACTCAGTTCCTCTGCTGCCTAGAATGCAGAAGGAAGAAGAAATAATGTTGCGCTACCAGCCGCAAGAGTGCGAAATTAAGATTATTTGGGAAGTGAAATGCAGAACATGACTATGGCTATGATCCATATCTTATGAGTCTCCTGCTGGACAACAATGTAGGTGTCCTCAATGTTGGTAGATTAAAATCAAAAGCAACCAATTATCAGGTGTTCCTGTAAGTACGCTTAGCAGCGTCAACAGTGTTGGAGAGAAGCATAGAGATTGTAATGGGTCCAACACCTCCTGGAACAGGGGTAATAGCTGAGGCCTTCACTATCGCTTCCTCATAGCAAACATCTACAACCAGACGATGACCCTGCAAACTGCCAGTATCCTGCATATATAAGATCATAGCCATCAATATAAGAATGATACTCATAATTCACAATAGAGCAACTAATAAAGTGAGGACTTAAGACTCCTTTCAAAGAGAACTGTCCAGTGTGAACCAAGATATTTAGCGAAGGAACTATTGTAGCACTAGTATGCATAGCAAACAAAAGTGTAAATTGCCGAACAAGTATCTCAAATCATTTTAGCAAGCAAAAGAAATACAAGCAAATGTAACAGCTTGTGGCTACCTCAACTGAATTTGCACCCATGTCAACAACAATAACCCCTGGTTTCAGCCAGTGCCCTCGAATCATGTTTGGAACTCCAATATCTGAAACCAAAATGTCAGCCCCACAGGTTACTTGCTCTGGGTTCCCGGTGAATGCGTGCACAGTAGTGACTGTTGCATGGTGCCTCTGCAAATTAAAATATGCATTAAGCCAAGGATAATAGTTTAAAATTTAGCAGTAAAAGAAAATGGTCTACCTGTATTAGCAAGGAAGTGGGCAACCCCCCAAGCTTGCTCCTCCCGACTACCACTACATTTTTACCTTTGATTTTCACATCATTCCTGAGCAGTAACTCAACGCAACTCTTTGAAGCACAAGGGATGAATGAGGGCTCCCTTCCGCGCATGGCAAGATTACCAACATTGGTGGGATGAAAGCCATCCACATCTTTCTCCGGACTCACATAGCTTATAATCTTTTCTTCATCCAAGTGCTGTGCCCATAAATCAATACCCAAAGTTAAATATGCCAGAGATCACACATTTGGACTAATCTCAGAAAGAACATCATCCGACCATAAAGAATATCAGCTGCACAAAGAGAAACATTCCAGAAAGCACAGACATCTGAGAGCGATGAGGTCGTTTTCTCCATGGCGCAAACAAAAAAGGGCAGACATTAGGTGAAATGAAACTTGTGGCAGATCTGTCTTATCCCAAGAAAGTCTTCTGTTTCATTCCAACAGAATAAAGCAATAAAACTAAAGCATTTACCTACTATCTCAACTAAAGCACTTATGTACTATCTCCCAGTGCTTCTGATAACTGCCGATGCATAAGTGCTTCTAGGCCTAGAGCGGATATTAACCCAACTCAATCATAAAATGCCGGATGCCCAGTAGAGAGAAAATTAGCCGACAACAGTCATTTGCTCAATCACATTGAAGAAACATTTTGTGTACAGTGTACAGTGTTCTCAGCTCGCTCACACGAAAACACACCCATTTACTAAAATTATTTCCTCCTGTCCTGATGAAGATTATCCACAGTAATTGCTGCTTCCAAACAACCCTTTCAAGCGAGGGGAAAAAATTATAGAAAAGCTTTCCTAGGACCATTAAGCCTCCATGTAATTGTCAAGGGAGAAAAATCCTCCTCCGGGTTACACTCATGAAACCTACCAAACAATAATGATGATGATGATGATGATATCGATGACGACAATACTGCTAATAATAGTACACCAACTCAAGGAATGCATCACGAAAAGCATACCATTGTTGGATGTTTTCCTATTCAAGTTCTCTCAATCTCCAAAAGAATCCCAATGTTATGGATCAATCAAAAAGATAAAAGGATATGGCTCCAACTCCTAATCTTATCTAGCTCTTATCAGATGTGTGCTGGTGAACAATTTGAGAATTGTGAACAATGACTGCTTCCACGTCGCCACACTTTGTCAACAACAGTTATGTATGGTAATTGTTAGTTTACAGCATGTATATAGTGTAGTATTGTCCCACATTGGTAGAGGAGTAGTATGTCCTTGTATAGTATAACCATAAATAAGGACCTCTTGTATTGTATTGTTCATCTAATATCAATAATATATTTTCTCCCGTGCCTTCTCACATGGTATCAGAGCAATTGTGAGAGACTTATCGCTGTGCATAAATTCCAGCGATTCAGGGAAAGAGAAATCAGTACTTTTTTAAGACTGTTTTCTAGCTGCTTCATTTCTGTCAGTGTTGTGCAAAATCCAACACTACCACAAGAGTCGTCACTGTCCGG